TGGCGAATGATTTGCAGATCCTGAGCACCACTGACAAACATCTAATCTTGTAAAATGTGTGGTAATACTGCCGAGTGCTGCTCCGTATGTGATCGCAAATCTCGAAAGTGAAAGTAAAAAAACAAGCGCGGGTTGATATTTCAATTCCCCGCATATTAATAACGACTCCTTGATGCCCGGTTTATCATACAGATTGAAAGCGTGAATCCCGTCTCTCTCCCTCTCTCTCTGTTTATGGGGTGTTTGTGCGTGCATGCGGGGAGGGGTGCGATTTTCGAATAATAATCGAATAATACCTAGCGATTTTCGAATATTATTTTTGCTTGGAATACCCATCCCTAATATATATATATATATATATATATATATATATTATACATCAGATTTATTATATATATTATTTTTTATGGGTTTTTTTATATGCAAGACTTATACATCGAATGCTAATCGACGGACTGTTATGTTAATAAGTGCCGTCATTCAGTTAAGTTTATTATATTAATATGTTTCAGCATGCCTTTCCACTCTTTTATTTCTGTCTTGCCCCTTCCGTCTCACTCCTCTCCTCATCTTCATACTGCTTGTGACCTGCTGTGGTCCCACTAACCCAAAGCTTCCTGAATTCTTGGTCACCCAGCGACACGCCTCTCTCCTCCCTGGAGCCGTGCGATGTCCCCCAGCTGGACATGTCCCGCTGCTGTGGCCTCAAGCCGTCCGTGTTGTTCGACCTCATCCTGATGACTGGCATCTTGGAAGAGCAGGAGCCTCCTTCCGGATCATCCGAAACATCTGGATTGCCACGGAATCGGATCAGCTCAGAGGGCGGCCCACGTAGCGAGTTGGAGAGACGTTTGGATGAGGACATTGCACGTATTATGATGGACGAAGAGGGAATGAGCTGTCCGGTGGATGAGGACAGAAATAAAGTGGAAGAGAGGAGACATGAGAACCAAGATGACACGTTCAGACCCCTTGTACAGTCAAACGAGGAGCCTGCTGGCGCCCCCTGTCCACCAATTCTCGCACCACAACCCAGGGTGGACTTTTTTGCTTTGGAACTACGTGCAGTCCGCATATCCTACCTCCTCTTGGGGGCGCTAAAATCTCTGGCTGTCATTCTGAGCTGCGGGAAGTTCACTGATCTTCTCCTGGTTCCCAAATCAGATGCAGGGGTCAATGTAAGTAGCCCCGACCCAGCGAGGGCCTCTGCTGGAGGGGAGGAGAATGCCGAGCTGCGCTCTGTGTTGCAGTTTGTGGTGCGGAGCATGGTGAAGTGGGCCGTCAGACCCTGTCCGATCAAACAGGCCATGGCTTTATCAGACCTCGAGAGGGCCCATATCATCATCTTTAAAGGAGTGTTGAGCAGACTGCATGAGGATGGAAGCAAAGAACGCAAAGGTCTGGAGCTTTTACAACAACATGGTTTATTCAATTGTTTACTACCTTTACTGTTGAATAATAATAATTAAAGGGGTCATAAACTGCATTTTTTTTATTATTGTGTAATGTTCTCTTGAGGTTCACTTATAATGTTTGTGTGACTACATCAAACAAACTAATGATTTAGAAGTAATAGGCTATTTTCTATCCTGTTTTTGAGCCTCTGCAGAACGATCTGTTTCTATAGGCGGGGCACATTCAAGAGTCGTAAGTAAACACCCACTGCTGTGATTGGATAACAGTTTCGCTTGTTAAAATAACAGATGGACGTTGCTGTGACGTACTCTGAAAACAACATGGGAAAACAACACACAGTATATATCAAACGGTCTGGAACAGACAATGTAATAGTGGTAAAAACACGTTTACTCACACTCATGTGTTGTGACATTACTGTTGGATACACTCTAGTCAGACTCAGCGCTGCATCATCGTTTACTTTCAGTCTCTCTGAAAAGCCTGCATTATACTGTCTTGTTGATGAATCCATAGCAAAGTAAAGCAAACAAACAAACAGTGTTTCACTGATGCAGTCTGGAGTTCATTGCTAATTTTACCCCATGTTTACACCGGACGCGAGCGGCGCAACGCGACTATCCGACAGTAAACTGATGTCCTGCTCTATTTCTGAAATACAAGCATTCACGCCGCTTTTGACCTGAAAGAGAAATTGATTCGCGACATGACACAACAGCGCCTGTGTCCGATCTAGATATGTTAGGATCACAAGGAAGGCAATTCAAGGAGTATTTTTTACAACTTACACTACACAGTGTCTTGTAATCTTGTAATGTCTTCTGTATGGTTCTGTTGATCCTGTGTTTGCGTCAATCTAGTATTTCGTCTCCTCTACTACAAGCGTGTATCAGTGGGTGGGGCTAAAGAGGCAGTGATGTCGAAGCAGGCGTTGATCTTCCCCTGCGGAGGCGGTGCTTAGCCACACTATTGCGTCATAAAGTGGCACATTCCAAAACGAGTCGTTTTCTGAACTTGGTTTCAATAAAAGCTGTTTTTAAACTAACAACAAAGTTTTCAGTTTTGAAACTTACAGGATGTTTTTAATAGTACATTGACTTTATATGTCAAAAGATCAAGGGAAATTTTATTTCTCAGTTCATGACCCCTTTAAACTTTTTAACTTGACATGTAGTAGTAGTAGTAGTTGTATTAATAATAAAAATAATAATAATACATAAATAAAATGTGTATTTATTTGTTTATAATAATTCAATAATGTCATTTAATAATTTAATAATATAATAATTTAATTTATTTATTATCATTATAAATATTACTGCTGTTTATTTATTTATTTTTAATTATTAATATAATTTTACAATTTTAATAAAATTATTTAATGTATTATGATGTATTATGTATTATGTATTATGGCAAAAAGGCAAAAGTAAAAAATAGCTAATAGGCAAAAGTCTGTAAAAGTAGCTAACAATAATAAAAATAATCAATTATTAATATCACTACTGATTTTTAAAAATTATTTATTTATAATTTAGTAACATTTAATAATTTTAATATAGTAATTAAATATAATAAAAAGAAAGGCAAAGGTTGGTAAAAAATAATACACAAAATATACAATAATAATAATCATTATCATTAAATTTTTTATTATTACTATTGTTTATTTTTTAATTACTTTATTTAAATTCATAATTAAAAAATGTTAATACAATTATTTAATTTGTTATTATTAATAGAAGTAGTAGTATTTCATATAAAAATAGGAAAAATAGCTAATAATAATAAATTATTATTACTAGTCTTTATTTGTTTATTATTATTATTATTATTTATAAATATAATTTACTTACTACTAACTAATTACTAACTACTAATTTCTACTTTTAATCATTTGAATATAATAATTTAATAAAATAATAAAAAGGCTAAAGTCTGTAAAAATAAGACACAAAATATACAAAAATCATCATCATCATTAGTATATTTTTTATTTACTTACTAATTAAAATATTTAGTAATTTAATTTAGTAAATTTAATATAATAATTTAATAGTAGTAGTAATATTTCATATAGCTTCGAAAGGCAAAAGTCTGTATAATATCTACTACTACTACTACTACTACTACTAATAATAATAATAATAATACAGATTTTTTATTTTAATATTTGTTTTTTGTATATTAATTAATTTGACTACTTGTTGATTTGTGTCTGTGTACATAGATTCAGGAGGGCACCCGTCCTCTCAGCCCGTGTCCAAGTCCTCCAGTTCAGTGTCGCTTTACAGCAACGGCTCTGAAGGCACCGCTATCTTCGGCCAATCAGCTTCACCCTCCACCAATGACCTCACAGCCTCGCTCCTCACCGCCCTGCAGGCTGACGGCCTGGAGAACTTTAACCCTTTCCTGCCCATCAACCTGCTACAGTGAGTTTCTTTTTCATCCAAGCCCAATTATTAAAATGTAAAAAGTGTATAATAAAGGAACCTATGAATTAGTGAAGTAATTATAAAGTACTTTAAAGTAATGGCAATTTTTTGATGAACTTTGTGTAACATCTGAAAGGTAATTGTTCTGGCACGTAATATGTGTATGGTTTTTTTTAATAACTGTGCCATTCAATGTCAATTTGAAAGAAAGGGATATGAGACAGTGTTTCAGACTGTCTCAAACACACACACACACACACACACGGTAAACTCTCTGACATGTCTGGATGTTCACACTCCAGATCGCCATCAACTGAGACACACACTCACACACAGGTTACTGAGAGTGTGAGTGAGAATACAGGTGAGTGTGTGTGTAAATCCGTGACTGTGTGTGTTATAACCTTATAAACACATGCTCCTCTTAACTTCAAGTGTCTGAGCATGGCTTAATGACACGAGGGTGATTTACACCTCAACATAACACATGCTCAAGCTGAAGGTTTGCTCTAGAGCAGGTGCTAGCGGTTCTCCTGTGTCTGTGTGTGCATGTGTGTGTGGCTGGGCTCCTCTAGGCGGATGGTGCTGGCGCGTTTTCCCACATTGGCAGGTCTCGTCCACAGTCCGGTTCTGCCCCCCGGGCTCAGCCTGACGAGCTCAGCGTCCTGTGAGGGCTTCACTGAGCAACAGACCAGCTTCCTGGAGCCCTGCGGACAGACCAGGACCCCCGTGGGTAAGACGTCCAGACAAACTCTGGAATACAAGGGCGTAGTAAGTGGATGTCCTGCATGTGGCATCCATGGACACAGTTCATCTGGTCAGCGGATGATGTTCCAGCGATTTATTTAATTTGTTTTTAGAAACTTATGTCAAGACTGGTTTATGTAGCACCAGGTGGGAGAGCTTGAGAAATGTAACCCTTTAACTTAACCCTGATGCCTGTGCATGTTTTACACTTGAATCTTGCTTTGGAACGATTTTTTGGTTTGTTACATACTGTACTCACCGATTGCAAACATTTTTTGTGCATCTTTACACCCTATTGAATGGCACCTTGAATCTCACAATAAATTACCAATTTATTTTATAAATATATTTATATTTTTTATGCACTGGGGTCCAAAACTCTGAGACTACTACTGAAAAATATTGCTTTTCAATTTTTTTTTTTTTTTTTTTAAAGACTTAAATTATATTTTTATATTACACTTAATATATTTAATTATATTATCAGTGTATCAGTCTGTGTGAAAGGTAAATTGAAAAATACTTAAAATTAATATATAAAAATTAATATAATTAAAATAAAATTTCAGAATGTCTTAGTTTGTTTTTTTAATAACACAAATTTGATTAGTGACTTAGAAATATTACCCTAATTTATTTATCATTTTCTGAATATTTGTAATTGTTTATATTACATTTTATATGAAACTATTTCATGTAAATGATTTTCAAAGTGGCCTCAGATATTGAACTTTATTAAGTGTAAAAAAATAATAAATAAATAAATAAGTAATGGAATTTGTAGTCCATGTGTCATTTTGTTGACCAGTAAGTTCCCTTGCCATCTCTAGCACAGTGCTTTATTTTTTTAATGCAGATATTGTCTAAATAAATCATTTTTAAAAAATCATATTTACCTGACTGACTGCATCAGTCAGCCCAGTCCAGATACGTTTTGATGCATCACTGAATATTTTCATTTCTGTCCTTCAGAACAGCCCCAAATGTTTGTCCCAGTGCGCTTGCTTGAAATGGGCTTCTCAATGAGACACATCTACAGGGCCATGGAGGCAGCAGGTACCAGCGAGTGCTTGCAACATCTAGCCAGACTCATTCTTACCTGCTAAAGGAGACAATCATGTTACAATGTTATATGGAATTTTCAAAGATTAAGAAACCAATGACTGCAGTGCAGTTATTCACAACTAGAAGAGATGGATAATTATGTTGAGTTTTGTACTTTTGATTTTTTTTGTTATTATTGTATTTTTTTCTTTTAGTCTCTAATTATTTACTGCTGATGATGCTGTTATTGCAGTAGATACACTCAGTACACTTCCCTATGAGATCCTGCTTCAATTCACTCCTCGTTGTTCTTCCCCACTGAATCATGGGAAATATTAGTGGAGCACTGCATGAAGTCTTACTTTGTGTTATGAATGCTCTGTTCACAGTTCAACAAAATTCAGCTTATTTATATAAATATTTTGTATGTATTTGTAATAATTATTTTTATTGCATATTTACACAAAAATTAAATTATATATTTTTATTTTTTGTTAGCAAAGCCAACTTTTAAAATAAGTCAATTATTTAGTTTTATCTATCAGTACCGATCAGAGAGATATAAATTATATATAAAACGTCACCATTTCTGACACAGAAACAAAAAACAGAATATAAACTCAGAATTCTGAGGAAAAAAGTCAGAATTCTGAGTTTATATTCTGTTTTTTGTTTCTGTGTCAGAAATGGTGACGTTTTATCTCAAAATTCAATACTTTTTTCTCGTAATTGTGAGATATAAACAGAATTGTGAGGGAAAAAGTCTGAATTGTATAATAAAATGTTGCAATTATTATCCCATGGTAGAAACAAGCTTCCATAGATTTCTAGTCCAACAAGTCTGCTTCCATTATGTTCGTTTTTAAAATAAAATGAAATATTTCAAAAGAAATTAATTAATAGAGACTGTTTATATTTGACAAATTTCAAGCATTAATCGTACACCTTCAGACCAAATGTTTTTTAAGATCACGAGAAACATTCATTCAGTCAAGTGTGTCTAAAAAATTTTTTGAGTATTCTCCCTGACCTTTTTGTGACCTCTCTCAGGGGTCACTGGAGAGGTGGACTCACGCACCATCGAGGTGTTGGCGAGCTGGATGCTGGAACATCCCATCACAGACGAGCAGCAGGCAGGAGAGGGCTCGTTTGCAGGGGGCGCCACTGATACACCCTCATCTGAAGGGCCAGAGACGGTCCAGTGCCCTGAGTCTCCAGCTCCTCTGACCCTACAGGAGAGCAGAGAACCCAACGAGAGGTGAATTCACACATTCTCTACATCCTAACCAGTGATAGCTGATCTCTTGCATATTAATCCAGCATATTAAGTCCTGCCCAACCTTGACGGCCACTTGGCTTCGGTGTCTGCTTTCGGTACCATACTACTCTTTCTATTTCTAGTTTACAGTGTGTATAGTAGCACAGTATACAAATGTCATGTTTGCAAGATCACACCGACCTACTAAATTTGCCAAACACTGTGGTATAAACAGAGCACACCACATGGGCTCATTTCCAATTATTCATTGTGTGTATTCCCGATGTGCTTTCCAGTCTGTTGGCAGGTTTGGACTTGGTGGAGAGAGAGAACTTCTTAGATGTTCACCTCACCAGGAACAGACCTCCACCTGCGCGGAGGCAGCGGTCCGGAGTAAGTCAGAGAACTTCCTTCAGGAGAGCAGGTCAGAGTCACATACAGTAACATTCAAAAGTTTGGTGTCTTTAAAAAAATAATTTTTTTTATTCAGCAAGGATGAGTTTGCTCATCTGTCTGGTTTGTTTCAGACTCCCCGTCGCCCAGTCCTGTCCCATCGCTGTACAGACAGGACGTGGGAGTGGCAGAGTGGCCAGAGCGGGCTGAAACGCACCCGTTTGCTGCTGAAGACGACTCAGAGCTGGGCTACATGGATGATCCGTACCAGGAAGAACCGTATGAGGAGCTGCTCACCCCAGAGTTCATCACCTCTGAGAGGGACACACTGTGGATGGTAGAGGTACTGGAGACACTATCTGATTTTCTGTCTATCTATCGTTTGTTTTATCTGTTGTTTTTTCCTATCTATCGTTTTATCTACCATTCTTTCTACCTATAGTTCTTTCGTTTGTTATATATATCGTTCTGTTGTGTTACATCTGTTTACAGTCTATCTATCGTTCTATCTATCCTTCTATTTATTGTTCTCTCATTCATGTTATCTCGTTCTGTCTGCCTTTCGTTCTGTTGTTCTATCTATAATTCTGTCATTCCTTCTATTTATCGTTCTGTCATTCTGTTTTTCTATCGTTCTGTCATTTATTCGAGCTGGGCTACATGGATGATCCGTACCAGGAAGAACCGTATGAGGAGCTGCTCACCCCAGAGTTCATCACCTCTGAGAGGGACACACTGTGGATGGTAGAGGTACTGGAGACACTATCTGATTTTCTGTCTATCTATCGTTTGTTTTATCTGTTGTTTTTTCCTATCTATCGTTTTATCTACCATTCTTTCTACCTATAGTTCTTTCGTTTGTTATATATATCGTTCTGTTGTGTTACATCTGTTTACAGTCTATCTATTGTTCTATCGTTCTATCTATCCTTCTATCTATTGTTCTCTCATTCATGTTATCTCGTTCTGTCTGCCTTTCGTTCTGTTGTTCTATCTATAATTCTGTCATTCCTTCTATTTATCGTTCTGTCATTCTGTTTTTCTATCGTTCTGTCATTTATTCTGTTTTTCTATCGTTCTGTGTGTGTAAGCATACTTGGTAATAAAGCTCTTCTGATTCTGATTCTGATTCTGATTTCAACTTGTTTCTTGGTAAAAATGGATGTAGAGTTCTCAGTCCCAAAGACCAAAGGGACCATCTAGACTTTCATTAGCGACAGATGCGAAAGCAAGCGTCTGTCATGGTATGCTATTGTTCTCTCATTCATGTTATCTCGTTCTGTCTGCCTTTCGTTCTGTTGTTCTATCTATAATTCTGTCATTCCTTCTATTTATCGTTCTGTCATTCTGTTTTTCTATCGTTCTGTCATTTATTCTGTTTTTCTATCGTTCTATCATTCCTTCTATCTACAACCCCAATTCCAAAAAAGTTGGGACGTTTTGTAAAATGCAGTGAAATCAAGAACCTGTGATTTGTTAATTATCTTTAACTTTTATTTAATTGACAAAAGTACAAAGAAAAGTTGGTTACACTTTATTTTAGAATGTCCTTGTTACAGTGTATATACATTTAAGTACGGAGTAATATTAAGTAACTACATGTACCTACTATATGGTTAGGGTTAGGATGAGGGTTTGGTTTAGGGTTAGTTGCATGTAATTATGCATAATTTCTTGTTACTATAGTAAGTACATGTAACGTGTAACAAGGACACCATACAATAAAGTGTTACCGAAAAGATTTCCAATGTTTTCACTGACCAGCTTAAATGCATTTTGTAAATATGAACAAATTTTGATGTTAATGGCTGGAACACACTCCAAAAAAGTTGGGACAGAGGCAAAATAATAGTGAAAAGGTTATAGAATATCCCAATTAAACTGTTTTGAAACAGTCCACAATAAGCTGGTGAATTAGTAATAGGTGAGGGGATAGTGTTTGGGTATTAAAGGAGCATCTCAGTCTTTGCCAGCAAAGCCACTTTGTGCCAAATTTCATGAGACAAGTGTCAAATAAAACAAAAATCAAATTTCTCAATGCAAAATCGCAAAGAATTTAGGTCTTTCACCAAATACCATACATAATATTGTGAAAAGATTCCGAGAATCCAGAGAAATCTCAGTCTGTGTAGGGCAAGGCAGGAAACCTTAGGTGAATGTGCATGACCTTTGAGTCCTCAGATGGCATTGCATAAGAAACCGTCATGCTGCGGTGTTAAATATGGCCACATGGGCTAAGGAGTACTTCAGAAAACCGCTGTCATTTACCACAGACTGCCGCTGCATCAATAAATGCAACTTGAATCTCTGTTACTCTAGGATAAAGCTATACATCAATTCTATGCAGTGATGCCGCAGGGTTCTCTGGGCCAGAGCTAATCTCAGATAGTCAAAAAGACAGTGAAAATGAGTACTGTGGTCAGATGAGTCCACATTTCAACTTGTTTCTTGGTAAAAATGGATGTAGAGTTCTCAGTCCCAAAGACCAAAGGGACCATCTAGACTTTCATTAGCGACAGATGCGAAAGCAAGCGTCTGTCATGGTATGGGGGTGCAGCAGAGCAAACGGCATGGGTGACTGGAACATGCGACGGTACCATTGACATGGAGGCATATATTGGAATTGTACAGCAACATACAACTGCCATCATGATGACGTCTTTCATGGGAAGTCCATGGTTATTAGATCAAGACAATAGCAGGTCTCGTTCTGCATGTGCTACAACAGCATGCTTTTGTGGACACAGAGTGAATGTGACTGACTGGCCAGCAGATCTATCTCCTATTGAAAATGTGTGGCCCATCATGAAAAGGAGAATCAGACAATAACGACTACAGACTGATGAGCAGCTGAAATCTTGTATCAAGCAAGATTGGATAAAAATTTTGCATGCAAAACTTTAACGATATCCTCAAATTCTCAAACGATTAAACATTGTAATTAAAAGGAAAGTTGATGTGACACAGTGGTAAACATGCCTCTGTCCCAACGGTACCATTGACATGGAGGCATATATTGGAATTGTACAGCAACATACAACTGCCATCATGATGACGTCTTTCATGGGAAGTCCATGGTTATTAGATCAAGACAATAGCAGGTCTCGTTCTGCATGTGCTACAACAGCATGCTTTTGTGGACACAGAGTGAATGTGACTGACTGGCCAGCAGATCTATCTCCTATTGAAAATGTGTGGCCCATCATGAAAAGGAGAATCAGACAATAACGACTACAGACTGATGAGCAGCTGAAATCTTGTATCAAGCAAGATTGGATAAAAATTTTGCATGCAAAACTTTAACGATATCCTCAAATTCTCAAACGATTAAACATTGTAATTAAAAGGAAAGTTGATGTGACACAGTGGTAAACATGCCTCTGTCCCAACATTTTTGGAGTGTGTTGCAGCCATCAAAATCAAAATGTGTTTATGCTTACAAAATACAATTCGGTTGGTCAGTGAAAACTTTGTAAATCTTTTCTTTGTACTTTTGTCAATTAAATTAAGGTTAAAGAGAATTAACAAATCACAGATTCTTTATTTTTATTGCATTTTACAAAATTTTGGGAATTGGGGTTGTATCTATTGTTCTATCTATCATATTATTCTGTCGTCTGTCATTTTTCCATCCTATTTATAATTTATTTTATCGTTCTGTGTGAATACTTTTGTTTGTTTTATTATTCTATCTGTCTGTTTTTCTTTTAATATTATTTGTCCATTTATGAATGTGTTTTTCATTTCTCTCTCACTGTATCTCAGTGTTGAGTGAACACACGTCTCTTTTTGTCTCAGGGAAGAGAAGAGCACCCAGAGCCCAATGAGATGGTGGAGTGTGAGCTGTGTAACACTCTCACCCTGCAGTTCAACAACCACATGAAGCGTCACCACCCAGGCTGTGGTCAGAGCGCCGGTCGCCGTGGTTACCGCAGCAACGGGGCCTACGTGGACGGCTGGTTCGGAGGCGAATGCGGATCGGGCAGCCCATACTACCTCCTGTGCACTGCATGCAGGGAAAAGTACCTGTCCTCCAACCTGGGGGTTATGAGCTCCAAACAGGACAGGTGAAGATGAGGAAACAATGAACATGTTGTAGCCATTGGCTTTTGCTGTATAACAACCCAGATGTTGTTTTTTCAGGGCAAGAGGTTTGGTGTCTGATCTAATTGGTCAATTAGATGGTACATCAGAAGGTATTTGTGCAAACTTTTAAATAACAAACACTGTGCAGTTTATTAAATGAATGCGTAATGATTTAAATGTGTCTGTATTAGATGAGTGGGATCTAGGTAACCAGGAAGACTCGGACTCAGACCGGCTTACAGGTTTGGAGGACTTTGGGATTCTTCTGAGACCTTTGGGTCTGAGTGAGAAGAAGCCCGTGCCCGACCCAATCCCCTTCACTGAACACGACCCACTCGGATCCCTCGTCAGTGGCTCGGTCAGCGGCAACAACAACCTGCTTTACAAAGGTAATGTTCTCATTTAGTTTCATATTTCCTACAAGAGCTTTCTAAAATCTCAGTAAATTAGAGCAGGTTGTCATTTGTTTCTGTGTGTAGGTGTTGTCAGCACCGAGCTGAAGAGCTCCTCGGTTCCTCTGAGTCTCGGGGAGCAGGCAGCATCCCTGCGGGAGCCCCAGGAAAGACTGTTGGCTCTAAGGAGAGTCACCTCCACCGCTCAGATCCTGTTGGCCTACAGTATGGTGATGAGAGCTCTCTCACAGACCTCCACCAGGTAACAACCACTCATTCCTGACTTCCCTCGGCACAAAATATATCATCTGCTCTGTGATCTCCTTCACACCGAATCTGACATTTCATACTGCGAAGGCTCCATCAATGTCTGTCTGACCTGCTCGGAATCTGAGCCTTGCAGAGTTCCATCATTCACTCATCAACATCATACTCATTAATCACAAATGTGTTACTCTTCCCTTGGCCATTTCATTTTATTTGACTAACTTGTCTATTCAAAATCTTTGATGAGCCCTTCATTTTTTTTTTTTTTAATTCTTTTTCAATTATCTGTTTCAGATGTACGTAATACAGAAGTAGTAATCTGTCATTACTTTTGTTACATTGCAATGTTTTTAGGTTTCATATATGTTTGTGTATATGTATATACACATTGTTGCTGTGCAATATGTCTCTTCAAAACTTTGTCTGTCACTGTGTGTTTCAGTAGTTCGGTGTGTAATCAGTCCAGTGGTCTGGAGGCTCTTGGTCTGGCTGACATCCGTATCCTGGTGCGACTGATGTGTCTGGCAGCGGGGGGGCGTGTCCACACAAGCGTGGACCAGCAGGGAGTGGGGCGTGGCTTTGTGAGCGATCGCACAGGCTCCGCCTTCCTGTCCTTCCTCAGCTCAGCTATCGGCAGTTTAGTGTCCCACAGTCCTGCTGCCTACAGAGAGTTAGTGGACATCTGCACTCAGGTACGCACTCTCTCTCTCTCTCTCCTCCTTCCCATCCATCTTTCTTGTCTCCTCCGTTAATGTTTCTCACCTCATTATCCTTGCTACGCTCTTTATCATTCTCTACTTTCAGCTCGTTTAATCATCCTGTCTTCTGCCTAATCCTGCTGTCTCACCTGCATGTCCTTCCTCTCAGGATCTCATGGCAGCAGCTACAGGGATGAACATCAGCGCTATCACTGATCCGCAGCAGAGGGTGAGGCAAAGCCTCGTCCTCAAGGGGGCGTCACAGGAGCCAAGAGAACTAACCCCGCCCACCTTCCTGGTCACACAGAGTCTAGTGTCTCTCCTGACAGAAAAAGGTGTCCGATACCGTTATAATGTGGAAAGAAGTGAATCCAGTGAATCAAAGGGTAACAAAAAAAAATATATATTTTCTAGACTAAAAAAAGTACATATGTTTTAAATGTTTCAGAAACATTTTGTTTATTTTAGACCAGCGATTTCCAAACGTTGTTGTCTTCCAAAACCCCTTGGACCTGAAATATTTAATTGAAGTACATCCTTACATTTTAAGTTAATATTTCAAAAACTGAACAACGCAAATTTGTTTTTGTTTTTTTATTTTTATTTCCAGTTAATGGTCACATGACATGCGGGTAAACAAATAAAATATTTATAGTAAAATATGAAATATTAATACAATTTATTTTAATAATTTTCAAATTATTTAAGTGTTTACTTTTTATTATTTAATAATATATTAATATTTTTTCAAATTATTTGTGTTTACATTTTATTATTTAATTGTGTATATATATATATATATATATATGTGTGTGTGTGTGTGTGTATGTGAACTTTTTATAAATCCCACTGTCATGTAAATCCTGCAAGGATATTTTCTTTTTTTGATTTATTTTAATTTGACATTTTTATTACATTTTAAGTTAATATTTCTTTTAACAATAATTACAATCTTTTAACAAGACATTCGCAAATTCATGGTTCTTTTTCAGTTAATGGTCACATGACAATATTTAGAGTAAAATATAAAAATGAAAAGAAATATATATTAATATGTCTCACTATCATGGAAATCCTGTAAGTCTTAGGAATTTATTTTTTTGTTATTTAAATTTTAAATTTTTATTCATTAATTTTTTGTTTTTATTGACTTTTCATAAATCTCACGGTCATGGAAATCCTGTAAGTATCAGGAAATGTTTATTTTTTGCTTAAACTGTTTATTGAAGTATCAGGGAATTTTACATATGATTACCAGGTCTGGAAAAGTCATAGAAAAATCTGAAATCATAAGGAAAGGTCTGTAGTGAATGTAAATATTTTCTAGTTATGCTTATCTCTAAAATATGTCATTGGTTAGAAGTTATTCCTTGAGAATGCAGTCTACAAAAATAATAAATAAACAAACAAACACTCAAATAATTAAATAACCAGTAATCATGAATGACTGGAAATCTTATGGAAAAGTCATGGACAGTGGTCAAAAGTTTTGGGAACCCTGCTGATTTTAATTCTAGTGACTCACTTAGGTACCCATATATCATTTTTAAATGGCAATTAATGATTTGGAATTAATTTAACCTAATTAACGCCACATGTCGTTGGACAGAAGGTGGAAGCCCTCCACCCGCAGGTCCCCCACTCTCTCAAGGGATGCGGGTCGGGCCGCTGGAGCTGGCTAATGCGCTCGCTGCCTGTGCCCTGTCGGCCAGGCTGACCAGCAGACACCGACAATGGGCTGCACAACAGCTGGTCCAGGCCCTGGCAGTCTCTGAGAAAGACAACACCGCCAGACCCCAGACATACAGCGACATGGCCGGAGATCTGCGCAAGTGTCCCATCAAGAAGCTGGAAGGACATCAGAACAGGGTAAAGAGCATGTAGATACAGCAGAAACACTTAAAGAAACATGCTAGATGTCTTGCAACTAGTTAATTCATTGGTACACAGCTGCTAATAGACACAATTGGAAAATGCCTAACTAATATTTACAATATTTAAATAAAATTATGTATTTAATATATACTTTTTGAAGGATGCATTAAACTGATTAAAAGTGACAGTAAAGACATTAATAATGTTACAAAAGTTCTCCATTTCAAATAATTAATAAATAATTCTCTTCATCAGAGACTCCTGAAAAAAGTATCATGGTTTCCACTGAAGAATTAATCAGCATATATACATTAAGTTAGATATTCTATTCTATTCTATAATTTAGAATGTATTTTCAGTTTTCATTTTGCTATTTGCTTTTGTCATTTTTGCCATGTATGTATGTATAAAACTAAGCTAATAATTTCTCAAAATGGCTAAATTAATCAACCTGGCCAATAAGTTTCTCCAGGGCATTACCAAATGTCTTGACTTGTTTCTGATTGGCTGTTGTGTTTGTAGGTGAGCAGCTGCAGTTGGAATGCAGAACAAGGGCTGTTAGCCACCGGTGCACAGGATGGGACCGTTCGACTGTGGGCCATAACGCCAAACACAGCAGAACTACAGCACACACACGCCTGCAGCGTCAGGTGAGACTGCTTGTTTTTCATCTCTTTGATTGGGAAAGGGAGAAATCCAAATGTTTCATAGGTCTGATGGGAGATGGATGCAAATGAATGTTTTGGGCACTGACAGGTCTGTGTTTGTGTGTGTGGTCTCTGCAGTGAGGATGCTCAGAGCTCAGATGGTTCAATGGGATCTCATCTGCTGTCCGCCGTATCGTGGAGCGCAGAGGGAACTCTACTGGCTGCCTTCCAGAACAAACTCCTCAACATCTGGACTGTCAATGGTCAGACCAGCATCCCGCACACACACACACACACACACTACACACAGCACTACTGTTGCCAAATCTTATACGTAATCGAATGGGTATACAGTAATGTATAATTGAGTGTAAGAGCAAGTTAACTTGAAGACCATATGAAAGCAAAATTATCTATATTTACTTATTCATTGTTCCTGGTCTTATTGTGCACAATATAGTGTCTTATAGTGCATGTTATTCCGAATAAAAAAGTTTTTGTTACCTTAATCTTGCATCAAAATAACTTTATTTGCTTCTGAAACAATATTTTTGCAGATGTAACCAGAGATAATTTAGTATAATGTATACACTATTATAGTATTTATTAATTGATTTATATACTATGTTTATATACTATTATAGCATGTATTAATATTTTGAATAATTTTGAATTAGTCTTTATTTTTATTTTCAGGTTTCATTTTAATGTAAAATTTTGCTTTAAATATATTTTTAGTAATTTTAGTACTTTAAACTTACTTCAGTTAGTTGTCAAGACAAGATTTCTAATTTCATTTCTTTCTTTTTTTTATCTTTATTTCAATTACCAAGAACGGTTTTTAATTTAGGTTTGTTTTCAGGTAACATTAAAAACACTGAATGTAGTGTGGTTGGGGGGAAATATTTATGAAATATTTATTTAAACAAAAACTATTCAAATCAAAATATTAATTAACATGATTTTGACTACTTTTCCAAAAATATGAGTGATGCTTGCCTGTGCAAAAGTCGCGAGTAAGATGCTTTGGAAGTTGCTAGGCAGTTGGTACGCAGTTTCTTCACTCATTTTATCAACTTTATTAGTGGTTGTTGTCTTGACTAATAATTCACAATCCAGTCAAGTCCTGCTGGATAAAAACTACAGTATATTTTGTGCATCTATACATCTACAGTTGTGTTGCTGGGTTTTAAAGCAGGTTTGATTTTTTTTTTTCTTTCTTATCACTCTGTATTTACAGGATTTCACTGTCCACTCTGTTCAAATGTGGTTGAATGGCTACACATAGATGTGTGCACACACTGTCAGAGCTGTGTGAAATCACTACCCATACTGCTTTTGTGGGGGTGGGTAGGGGTGTTAAATATTTTTTTTTCCCCCATAGGTTTTTAACATTCTAAAAGCTCTTTATTATCAAATTACATTTACATTTACATTACATTTAGTTAGTCAGTGTATTCAGTAGGTGTAATGTATTCTAAGTTGCTTCAGAAGTATTGCAAGTATCACGTACAACAATAATAAAACAGTGCATTGACATAAAAAAGGAAATTTACTTTTGGTACTTAAGTACTTTTAAAAGCAAGTACTTCTGTACTTTTACTAAAGTAAAACTCTGATTTTACAACTTTTACTTGTAATGGAGTAATATTTGACCAGCAGTATCTGTACTTTCACTCAAGTAATGGAGTTGAGTACTTTGTCCGCCTCTGCTTAAAACATCCTGGACAAAGTGGTAGTAGTATACAAGCACCTTGAACGCGTTAGTGTTTGTCTTCTTTCCTGTAGGTACTCAGGCACACATCGAGGCTCAGTCCTCCTGGGTCACTGCGCTCTCGTGGGTTCAGACCTCCACTCCGTTCCTCAATCAGGAAGCCTGCAGTCAGGTCAGCCCTCCTGAGAGTCTGCTGGTGGGCCGGCTGGACGGCTCCCTCTGCTGGCTGGAGGTCACAGACGACTTAAGGGTGGAGCGAACAGAGCTCACTCACTGCTATAGGAAAGAAGGTTGGTCCATAAATGTGCTGAAGATCTCTGTTTTAATGTGTTTGGAGAAAATGGCTAATAATTCAGTAGTGAATGAACTATCACTGTCTTTGTCCTTCTTGTGTTCAGCACCTCAGTGTCTGGCCTGGTACAGTGTTGATAAACCCTTTGCCGTGGGCTATCCCGAAGGCAAAATTCTCCTAGCAACAGCAGAAAGCTACGAAACTGACCCGCCCATTCTGCTAACAGCATTTCCTGTGAGTCCTCAAACTGAAGACAAACACTTCATCCGACAATAATGATTCTGCTTTTTTGTCTAGTTGACGAAAAAATTATTTCTTTGGACCAGTTGAAATGGGTTTTTTTTTTGTTAATCGCTGGGTGGAAGTTACATGAAGCATAAGCAACATTTTAGAAAATGTTTTCAATTAGCTTCTTTAAATATTTTCTTTTTCTAAACTTAATTAGTGTGCGGTTCTATTTCAAATAAAAGCTTTTTTTTATAAAAAAAAAAACATTTAAGCAACACAACTCTTTCCAATATTTATATAATAATAATAATAATTAGTATTATTATAACAAATAATGTTTTTGTAGGTCCAAATCAGCATTTTAGAATGATTTCTGAAGAATCGTGACTCCAAAGACTTGAGTAATGGCTGAAAATTCAGCTTTGCCATCACAGGAATAAATCAATTTTAATATATGTTAAAATAGAAAGAAGTTATTTTAAATTGTAATTATATTTCACAATCTTACTGTTTTACTGTATTTTTGATCAAATAAATACACCCTTGGTGAGCATAAGAGTGCTTTCAAAAGCATTAAAACTCTTACCAGCCATAAACTTTTCAACTGTAGTGCATTTCCTTAGAAAAATACATTTTATTCATTCAATAAAATGCAACATGAGGTCTTTTGGGAAAACTTTTGAATGATGACTTAAACCAAGTTAACTGAATCAATACAATTTGAATTTCTTCACACACCTTATACAGATTGGGATACAGTGTGTGAAACCGAACGCATAATTATGACACAAATAAACCCGTATTTGCCTTTCTGTTCACAGGAGAGTGTAAGTGCACTCAGGTGGGACCCTACCGGACATCTGCTGCTGTCCGTCGGCCGCTCTGAGGTGGTGAAGATCTGGGGTCGTGCCAGCGGTGCGTGGGTCACCCTCCACTCTCTGTTCCACACGGGCACAGTCAACACGGCCGAGTGGTGCCCTCTGCCCGGGAGAGGGCCGGAGCCTCGTCTCATGATGGCAGTGTAAGTGTGCCATATGCTTAATAATCATTACAGCGATTTTCAGAACCAGATGCCCACCTACTTTAATATTTAGCAAATTTTTGGGGGTGTTACTACTCATTTCATTCATAAAAAAGCCATTTACATATAGAATTCTTAAAATGGCAATGAAATGGAAGTAGCAACCAGTGTTATTTTATAGTATCGAGATGCTATTGCAGTTTTTGTTAATATTTTGAAATTTTTTTTTTTAATATATTTTGTTAATTTTAGTTGAAGTTGTTTTTGTTGTTTTTTTAAAATATGTCTATATAGTTTTTAATAATTTTTATTTCAGTTTTAGTTTTATTTATTTTTTTAGTACATCAAGTTAAACTAAAATAAAATGAGAAATGTTGCCTTGGAAACTAGCTGAAATAAAATACGTTTTTTATATTTTTGAAGTAACGAAGGGTCTTGGATCTCTCCATCGTTCGTTGATTATTGAATGGATTTTGAGATGTGGAGAATTCTCATTTTCACTGAAAGATCCAGTTATGGCATTCTGATTGAACAATTCAGTTTAAATATGTATTAAAAATTATAAATGCACAGGTAAATTGTTCATAATAAGAGCTATGACATTCATTTAGAAAATAGATAGAATAGAAGTAAAACCCAAAGGTCATAGAAAGTGTGGAAAATAGAGGAAAATGTGTAAATTAAATTATGACTTTGGTGGAAGAAATATTAACATTATAAGTGAGAAGAATCAAACATTGTAAGTGGACTTATATATGTATAATATGGCACTAATATTACTTTCCACACCATTTACATGAAGAATGGATACAAGATATCTCAGAGGAGCTTTTTTGAGAGCTTTAAATGAGTACTTCATGAAGTATTTTTAGGATATGTAGACATTTCGCTGTTATATTAGTAGTCAAGGATGCACAGGTGTCTAATCCATCATCCAAATGTTAAGATTGTCCTTTATTTCCTCAGTGGATGTCAAAATGGCCTCCTGTATGTGTGGACTCTTCCTCAAGGGGGCGCTAATGTCTTAGTGCCCAATTTCCTCACCCCATCTACCAGCCAAGACAAGAGCAGTGCCATCAAGGTCAGATTTATTCATTTATCTATTTTTTTGGTTAGATAATTTACTTGGAGTAAATTAAGCCTTCTTATTTATTACCTGTTTAACCTCACCTTTTAATTCACTTTCACTCTGTTAGATTAATTGTCACTAAAGGTCTTTTTTGGAGTTTGTTAACAGAGTTTAAGAAAGCTCTCTCTATCTCTCTCTCTCTGTGTGTGTGTGTGTTTTGTGTTTTAGCGGGGCAATGCTAAATGTGTATTAACCTCACCTTTTAATTCACTTTCACTCTGTTAGATTAATTGTCACTAAAGGTCTTTTTTGGAGTTTGTTAACAGAGTTTAAGAAAGCTCTCTCTCTCTCTCTCTCTCTCTCTCTCTGTGTGTGTGTGTGTGTTTTGTGTTTTAGCGGGGCAATGCTAAATGTGTGTACCGCCTGACTGGACACATTACTGCGGTAAAGACCCTGTCTTTTTGTCCCAGTGGACTTGCACTGGTGTCTGGAGGAATCGGAGGGGTGCTCAACATCTGGTCTCTCAGGGTGAGCCAAAAGCTTCTTATAGGTATTCTTTTATTAGCTTTACAAAACTCCTGTTTTTGATTGTAAACACTCCCCTCTGCTCTAGGATGGTTCGGTCCTGCAGACTGTGGTTACAGGAATGGGCTCTGTGGTTTGTACCACTTGGATACCACACATAGGGGTGACCGCTTGTTCTGGAAGATCAAAGGTACCGAACACTTTCTGAAAAAGTGTTTGTCAATTAATGTTTAATTAAAAAATGTGTAATTCATGTTTAATTCTGTTTCTCCTATCTCAGGATGCTTTGCTAATTCGCTGTACCCCAGACTGGATTTCTCAGAATCACGTTCTGGCTTCCTGCCGTTCCGTTCTACGAAGTCAGAGCATTCTGGGATTGAATCGTGCCCCCTGCATGGCCGTCTTTCTTGAGCGCCTTCCCACACTGCTTCAGGAGCAGTACAGCTATGAGAAGGTACATAAAGTTTTTCATCAAAACTGAGACTTATTGTCCAATGTAATGAGGTTTATTTTATATAGTCTTCTGAGGAGTTCACTGCAGCTTCTGCTCTGATTAATGAACTGCAGCTCTCTGGGTCAACATCACCTCAGAACCACCTAGTTTTACTTCGTCAGATTATATTTTAAAATATATTAAAATAGAAAATAATAATATTTCACAGTATTACCGTTTTAATGTATTTTTGATCAAATAAATGCAGCCTTGGTGAGCATCTTTCAAAAAACATAAAGCCTTAATTATTCCAAAGTTATTTCCATTATGATGGTATTCTCAGTGCATTATGCATATCCTTTCATGTGTGTCTCGCTCCTCAGAGTCATGTGATGGTGGGCGATCAGCTGACTCACAGCGCCTTTCTTCAGAGTCTGGCCACACTGGCTGTGGGTCTCTTCTTGGATCAGTTACTGTGCCATCAGCCCAGACCACCTCACCTCAGCGGGAAAGAGCCGGATCAGGACGGGGCCCCTGGATCCTTCTGCCCCTCAGAGTGGAACTGGCTTTCCATTTATTCAACCACAGTGAAGAGCGCAGAGGCGTTTGCTCGTGGCACCCCATTCCCAGAATCCTTCATCGCACCTGAGTTCCATCATTCTGGATCCACAGAGTTGACCAAACCACTGGTAAGAGGCAGAGGAGTTAATCCTTGTGAAATATTTAAAGGAACGATATTTGTACAATTTCTTTTCCCTCATAATCTGCTTATAATGTTAGTGAAGTTTTTTTGCACAAAAAAACAACGTAATTTATTCATGACCTTTTTTGACTCTCGTTTTGACACTTGGAATATTAAATGAGCTGTTTTTGCTGCTTTACTTTAAAAAAAAGAAGAAATACATAGCAAGGATCAAAATGGAAAGTTGATGTACTAAAATAACAAACTAAAACTGAAATAGAAATTAATAAAAAAAATATATACGACTAATATATAATATAAAAAACACAACAAAATTACTAAACATTTAACTAAAATTAAAATGAAAACAGAAAATATAAAAATAAACACTGATTAAAAATATTAATAAAAACTATAATAGTATCTCAATGATACCAAAATTCCTTATTTCAGCTGAGCAAAGAAAATCCTGTTTTCCACAATATGCCCCTTAAAGGTTATTTTGATTTATGCAAAGTGTCTTTTGTTCTCCTTCCAGGACAACGGTAAATGGACCTTCATGATGGATGAACAGCTCATGTCCTGGGCGACCAGCAGACCTGAAGTAAGTCTGTGTGTTCCTGAACGTGTGTGAAGTTTAGCAGACACGTGGAAGTGTGTGTTAAGACATCCGGATCTCCCTCATTCGTCTCTGTCAGTATAGTCCCTGTGTTCAGCATTGTTCTTTCAGGCAGATTTTTATCACTCTTCACGTGTTTGTATTCATTCAGCTTTTATAAATTACCTCACACAAACCCTACCAGTTAGCGCCACACAAAACCTGTCTCTACATAAAACTCCTTTTCTCTTCGTTTAAAGCATAACTCCGTGCCTATTTTACCTTTACAGCTTGCTGAATTGGCCATTTAATGGACATGGCCTTTTTTTAGCATCAGTATATTGATTGCATTAAAAGAATAATGTTTTTGTAATGTGTATAAAGGAAATATTATTGTATTTAACAGTGCTTTAAACATCTTTTTTAATCTAATAAAATCATGTTTGTGTATTTGACAGGACTGGCAGCAGGGTGGTAAAAGTGAGGTGTACCTGTGGGGTAACGGACGTCACGGGCAGCTGGCGGATGCCGGGACCAGCGCGTCTGTGCCCACCCTCGCTCCCTCCCTCTCTCAGACTCAACAGGTAGAGTGTCAACACCAAACACATGCAAAACTACCACAAGTTGGCATGTACATTTAAAGAAAGAGTAATCCTCTCCATTTATCTCTGCTGTGTGTTCCTCTCAGGTTGTGTGTGGTCAGAACTGCACGTTCCTGGTTCAGGCTAACGGTACCGTTCTGGCTGTAGGGGAGGGCAGTTACGGACGACTCGGACAGGGTAACTCAGACGACCTCTACACCCCAACTGTCATCTCAGCTTTACAAGGTAATGCAAACCACAGCAAACAAATTTCCAGGCCAGTGCCAGTAATATTTGTACACGGATTTTATTTGGGGCAGTTGTGGCCTAATGGTTAGAGAGTCGGACCTGTAACCCAAAGTCCGGCAGGAATATGTGTGTGTGTTCACTACTGTGTGTGTGCGCTTGGTTGGGTTAAATGCAGAGCACAAATTCCGAGTATGTGTCACCATACTTAGCCACATGTCACTTCACTTCACTAATTTACTGATATTCCAACACTCATGGAATTTGGGGGGAAAATAGAAGCAGAAAAATAATGAAATAGGAATTTACTCTTACGGAGTCTTATATAACTTTTAGTGAATGAATACATAAGAGTTTCATCTCATTTTAGAGTTGTTTGGAGAAAAACATAACTGTGGCTGTCAGTTAAATAAAATAATTGTATTATTTTGTTAATTAAATAACAACAATAATAACATACAACAAACAACATAAATAAACAACTTGATAGCAAACAACATGATCAACAAACAACATAAATAATAACAATAACAACAATAATAATAATTGTATTATTATTTAATAACAACATTAAAATATCAACCTCTTAAAATCTATTTTTCTAATAACTTATTGAAAAAAAAAATATTGTAACTATAATTATATAATTAATAATAATAATAACCTACAAAAAATCTAGTTAATCTTGTGCTTGATCTTATTTAATTTTATTATTAAATATTGATACAAGAGAAATAAAGAAGAAAAGATAAAGATAAACTGTAGCTGGCTAAATTAATTAATTAATAAATAATAATAATAATAATTTAGCTCTAAGCTTTAATAAAATGTATTGAACGTGTGCTGGGAATAAGATTGTATATACTATATATATATATATATATATATATATAGGTTGTGATTTTATTGATATAGTGATTATTATTACTTTTTTTTTATTTATTTTTTTTACTTTAACTCAATATGAAAATGCATGAAATATATATTTAATCTATTACATGGAATTTTTTCCCTAATAGGTTATGTAGTGACACAGCTGGTGACATCATATGGGTCTGATGGCCACTCATTGGCTCTCACTGAGACCGGAGAGGTGTTCAGTTGGGGTGATGGGGATTATGGGAAACTCGGCCACGGGAACAGTGAAAGGCAAAGGCGACCCAAACAGATCGAGGCTCTGCAGGGAGAGGAAGTGGTGCAGGTAAAGAAAATTGCTGTCCAAGATAATCACCAAAACCATCACACGACCAGCTTTCATTTGAACTTCATTTCCTTCTTTCAGCTGGCATGTGGGTTCAAACACTCGGCTGCCGTCACAGCGGACGGAAAACTTTTCACCTTTGGCAGTGGAGATTCTGGACGCTTGGGTCAGAGGTCAACTTCGAACAAGATGGTCCCGGAGAGAGTTACAGCGCTAGATGGATACCACATTGGACAGGTGCTTCTTCTTTGTTTGAACTTTCATTCTAATGTGTGTATATGACCTTTCACCAGTGCGTGATGAGTGAAGATGACCTTTTCTGTTGTGTTTAGGTGTCATGTGGCATCAATCATACTTTAGTCCTGTCATCGGACGGCCTGACCGTGTGGGCTTTTGGAGACGGAGATTATGGTAAACTGGGTATCGGACCATGTACAGTGAAGTGCTACCCACAGGTACAGTCTTACCGATTGATCTTCTCATTGGCTGATCATCAGGTACATTATCGTTCAAAAGTTTGGATTCAGTAAGATTTGTTCATATTTTTGAAAGATTAATATTATGGTCACCAAGGCTTCATTTATTTGACCAAAAAAACAGTAATAATGTGAAATATTATTACCATTTAAAACAGTTTTCTATTTGAATATGTTTTAAAATATAATTTATTTCTGTGATGCAAAGCTGAATTTTCAGCATCATTACTCCAGCCTTCAGTGTCACATGATCCATGATTCAGAAATCATTCTAATATGCTGATTTGGTGCTCAAGAAACATTCTTATTATTGTTGACAAAACTTTCTTTGAAGAATAGAAAGCTCAAAAGAACAACATTTATTTGAATGTTTTGTAACATTTTGTAACAAAATGTCTTTACGGTCACTCTTTATCAATTTAATGCATCCTTATTGAATAAAATGATCAGTTTCTTTCAACAAAAAAAAAAAATATATATATATAAAAGTCTTACTGACCCCAAACTTCTAAAAAGCAGTACATGTTTTTTTAATTGACTGATTGTCCTGTGTTTCTATCTGTTGTTAGAAAGTGGAGGCTCTTTGCAATAAAGGCATTAAAAAGGTTGGATGTGGAACGCATTTCTCAGTGGTTCTGGCCAAAGATGGACACGTCTACACATTTGGCCAAGGTAGACCCTCCAGGAATAATCATCATCATCCAAATGTGTTTGTGTGTAAATGTGGCATCATTTACATTTATTCTATTTTCATTCACAAAAGAATGAGATATTTTGAATGTAAGGCTGACTGTGTTTTTCAAAGCACCTTTGTGATGTTGAGACAGCCCTTATATGCGTGTATGTTTTCACAGAGCGTCTGATAGGTCTGCCGGACTCCATGCTGAAGAATCACAACCGGCCGCAGATCATTCCGGCTTTGGAGGGCGTCTTCATTGAGGACATCGCTGTTGGCTGTGAGCACATCCTTGCTTTATCCAACACCGGAGACGTGTACGCATGGGGCTGCAACTGTGAGGCCCAGGTACAGTCAGCTGAAACAGCACACTGACCTATTACCATCATGTTTAATGATGTTTTATTTGTGAATGGGTGAATATTTAGTTGAGCTTGTGTCTTCTTTGTGCGCATTGCAGCTGGGTCTGGGCCATTCCAATCCCGTCAAAGAGCCTACTCTGGTTACTGCTCTACAGGGCAAGAACATCAGGCAGATCTCGGCTGGACGCTGTCATACCTCGGCCTGGACCACACCGGCTCTGTCAACCAGAGCTTCAGGTACACACAAATCCTAGTCTTGGAACCTCATAAGCGAACTGTTTGGAATGCTGTACATGTGCAGCAGCTACAATAATGTTCACTTATATACACCATACAGCTAGCACTGTTCAATAACAGTCGGTAGTCAGTATTACAAATAAGCTGGCTAAGCAAACTAACAAGCAAGCAATCTCTCTCTCAGTTATACACTCGAATGAACACACAAAGATACTCTCACAGTCTTTCTAACATGGTCTGAAACTAACTAGCAAGAAAGTCAACTAGTAAGTCAGGCAAAGCAAACACAGCGAGTGAGCACGAGGCTGATGCAGGAAGTGACAAAGGAGGCTTTTATAAGCAGCAAGGAGTCAGCTGACCAGGCAGGGCGTGGCACCAATTAGACTGCAGAAACCAATCGGTCTTCTTCCTGGACAGAAGACACACCTCCCAAACAAAAGAAAACACAGAAATGGAACAAAAGGGACGTAACACCCCCATACACAAGAAGAAACATGTTTCATGTTTATGGACAAGTTCTTGACAGAGAATCAGCAATAATATTATCCTTGTAATTCTTATACTTGATGTATAAGTTAAAATCTTGACAGATTAAAGCCCAATGCATGAGTCTTTGATTTTTATTACAGAACTTTAGCAAAAATACAAGAGGATTGTGATCAGTAAAAACTTCAACAGGTTGTGAACTTGAACCAACATAAACTTCAAATTGTTGCAAATCTAACAAGAGGGCGAGGGCTTCTTTCTCAATTGTACTGTAATTACATTGATGGTGACTGAATTTAGAAAAGAAACACAATAGGTGATCAATTCCATTTTCATATTGTAACAGCACCTGCACCTGCACTAGTACTGCTATCAACCTCAAGTTTAAAAGGTTTTGAGAAGTCAGGATTAGCTAAGACAGGAGTGCTACATAAATTCTTTAAAGAATCAAAAACAAAAATTAGTCTTAATTAAAAAAAAAAAAAAAAATTAAGTCCTGGGAAGGTCGTAGAAATCAACAAAATCCTAAAAATGTCATGGAATTTGTATAGTAAATATACAAATATTTAATTTAATTTAATTTTTATTTTAAGAAATGAATGTTTTTATTCAGTAAGGATGCCTTAACTTAACCAAGTGTCAGTAAAACAAACATGTTACAAAAGATTTCTGTTTCAGATAAATGCCATTCTTTTGAACTTTCTGAAAATCCTGAAAAGTATCATGGTTGCCACAAAAAAAAGCAGCACAGCTTATTTCAACATTAATAATAATAATAAATTGTTTCTTCAATAGCAAATCAGCATATTAGAATGATTTCTGAAGCATTGTGTGATACTGAAGACTGGAGTAATGATGTTGAAAATTCAGCTTTGCATATTGGTCAAAAACTATAAATACACAATTCACACATGCTATTTTTTCCACTGTATCATGGCATATTCAGCTTGGTATCTCAGCAAAAAAAAATGTTCACATCTCCACAGACTCTGACCTCATCAGTGAACCGTCTGTACTAGGATCAGTTCCTCAGCGGTTGGATGTGAGATTGGTTTTTGCATCTTGTGTCATCAACTCTGACTGTGTATTTTGCAGGTTGTTCAGGGATACAGCTGGGTCTACCTCAGTCTGTGCCTCCGCAGTATAATGTCCTCAAAGACTTCAGCCCTGAAGTGCTAAACACCCGACTCAGAGTGCTGTACCACTTCTCTGATCTTATGTACAAGTCCTGGAGGCTTCTGAACCTCGACCCCCGCAGTCAGGTACTTGATCAATAAAACAAACACATTCACGTGAATCATAGCATTCGCTGCTGATGTTTCACTGGGAAAAAACTGTACTCTGACTCCCTGCCAAGAACCTTTCATAATTTTCTAAGCTCAGCTGAATTTGTGTACAGTGTGAAAGTGTTCCTTGTTACGGTTCCTGTTTTTTACCTCCAGACTAATAGGTCTGTGTCGGTTGATATCCAAGCAGAAGTTTTGTCTGACCGTGTCACTCTCTGGCTGGTTTCCAGGTAAATGCTTCCCGCTACAGCTCAGGTACCGCTGCCATCGTGCAGGGCCAACTCAGAGGCCTGCTGTCCCCGAAAGTCAACACCCTTCCTCTCGTTCGCACTATCGGCAGAACCATGACGCAGGGAAAGACCTACGGCCCCCAGATTACAGTCAAACGGATCTCCACCAGGTACAAGTCTGAGCTTTTAACCAGGGCTGCACAATTAATCTAAATAAAACCGAAATCATGATATGGATTATTTTTATTATTAAATAACAAAGGCTGTGATTTTAATTAAATAAATATATGTGCTGCATGAATCTGAGTGAAATGCAGCACTGTGATCATGATCCAGTGTTTGCAATGTTTGTTTGGGTTTTTTTTGGTAATTATTTTACAGTATAATACAACAATAATAGTAATAATAATAACTATAATATTGTTATTGTTATTATTATATAGACATTATTGTTAATATTATTATTATTCTCTGAAGTTGAACTCCATGTAATGCACTTGTGCAGGAAAATATATATTTCATGAAATAATGTTTCAAAATAAGACAAAAAAACAAAACATTAAAATAAGCCAAAACAATTAGAAATGTTTCATTTACCCAAGATTTCCACAATTTCGAAAAGTGATTTGTCATGTAAATTAATAAAATCATGTAACTCCATGGCCATTTTTATGATGAATATTTGTTTTTCTAGTTGTGCCTAGATCTAAAATATTGTATCAGGTAGAAATTGTGAGTATTATATTTTAAAAGTTATTTTAATATCTTTATTATATTTTAAATAGTATATTTTAAAACAATATAAAAAAAAAATTCTTAATACTTTTATTACACAATTAATCATTAAAATCTGGAAAATTCATGACAATGGGGGGCCAGTCAAAAAGGTTGAGAACCACTGGAGTAGAGGAACACAGGAAGTGTAGGAAATATAGATGGATAGTTGATAGACAGTGTTTATAAACTTCCTGTTTGAGCTGCAGATTTGTTTTTGCCAAGATTTAAACTTTTTACTTGATCAAGTACCTAACCTTGTCCTCCAATCCACAGGGGGCGCTCTAGCAAGCCCATTTTCGTGCAGATCGCCAAGCAGGTGGTGAACCTGAACCCTACTGAGCTGCGTCTGCCCTCCAGAGCATGGAAGGTGAAGCTGGTCGGAGAGGGGGCGGATGACGCCGGCGGTGTGTTTGACGACACCATCACTGAGATGTGCCAGGTAAGTCCATGTTCTTAAACTCTTAGCACTAAGGTAGGGTCACCTTCATATTCAGGCATCGAAAATCAAATGATCTTTTCCCAGGAGTTGCAGTCTGGTGTGGTCGAGCTTCTCATTCACACTCCCAACAGCACTGCAGATGTTGGTAGCAACACGGACAGGTACGTTGTAGATGCTGAGATATATAAGCAGAATGTGTTTGACCCCTGACCTTATTTCAGGCTTTTAACCAACAACCCATTAAAAAACCACCATTGATTTTGGTACAATGCAACGGGAAGTGCTGAGATGCTAACTTGTTTCCTGGTTTTGGTCTACAATAATACGTCATCCCTGCAGCACTCTAATGGCTCTAAATAGAAATATTGTTTTTCTACTAACCTCCATCGTCTGGACAGGTTCTTGCTGAACCCAGCAGCAGTCTTGGATGATCACATAGTGCAGTTTCGCTTCTTGGGGATCCTAATGGCAGTGGCCATTCGAACCAAAAAGCCCTTGGATCTGCACCTGGCGCCATGGGTGTGGAAACAGATGTGCTGTATTCCTCTGGGAGCCGCCGACCTGGAGGAGGTGGACTTGCTCACATACCGCTCACTTCAGGGCATCTTACACCTGGACAATAGCGTGATCAATGAAGAGAACTTCACAGTGGTGAGGCACATAGCCGCGAGAGACCAGCAGAGATCATTCATTTAGACATGACTTTCTCACTGTTGGTTTTATTCTGGATTTTTAGATGATCCCTCTGGACTCGTTTGTGGCGCACAGTGCTGATGGCACGTCGGTTCCAGTGATTCCTGGTGGGCATAACGTCCCTCTGACATTCTCCAACAGGAATGATTATGTGGAGAGAGCCCTGCACTACAGACTTCATGAGATGGACAGACAGGTATCTGCCTCTCCTCCAGACACTTTGGAATTTACAGAATCAAAATTATGTTAACTAAACACTTCACTTAAAGGAATAGTTCATGTCCATCAGCAAGCACTGTTAGTGTCCCTGCTGTTTATAATAATGCATGTAGACTGTAGACTTGCATGCTGACGGTGCATAAGCAGTGGTAACGCAGTATGTGTGTTTATGTAGGTGGCAGCAGTGAGGGAGGGCATGTCCTCAATCATCCCAGTCCCGTTGCTTTCCCTGCTCACGGCTCGACAGCTGGAACAGCTGGTGTGCGGCCTGCCTGAGGTCTCCGTGGAGATGTTGAAGAAGGTGGTACGATACCGTGACATTACCGACAGCCATCAGCTCATTGGCTGGCTGTGGCAGAGCCTTGAGGAATTTACCAATGAGGAGAGAGTCCTGTTCCTGCGCTTCGTGTCCGGACGTTCCAGACTGCCATCCAATCTGGCAGACATCACACAAAAATTTCAAATCATCAAAGTTGATCGGGTAAGGCCACGGTCAGGTATAGAATATTTTCTTTACTATATAAGTAATATATAAACGTTTGGAGTGAGTTTTACTCTTTTGTATTTAACTGTACATAAACTCTACAAAAAGTTAAGAAATTATTGAATGAAATGAATTTAAATAAATTTAATATGTACTTTAGTTAGTTATTTATTAAATTGTATACATTTTTTTATATATAATAATTTAATGACAACAAATGAGATTGCTAAGAAATGAAAAATTGCTAAAATGAAATTAAAATAATATAAAATGTAGAATTATTTTACTAACATTCACCCCTACAAAGATGAAAGAGATCCGCACTCCTCCAAATGCAGCTAAAAAAGCTTATTCCATTTATTGTTCAGAGGTCACAAAAATATGTAGAAAGAAGTGCAAAAGTGCAAGTGCAGAACGTTTTCGGGTATTAACCCTTCCTCAGTGCCATGTGCTACCAAGCAACACCTGCGCTCATTAAAACATGTATTACCGTAATACCCCTAGTATCACGAAGATCTTTTAAACAAATACACATATATATCTCAAATCTATAACAAAATACAGTAAATACATTCATAAGTCATCCCAAATTCATATACAACTATATCAACAAAATATATAAACAAAATATACATATACACCAAATAATAATCTCATGACTCCAACAATAATTCTTAACATCAGTTTTTATGTATACAATCAATAAACATCATACCCAAGTACTCTTAGAGTCCCCCATATATATCATCAAATTATTTTAAAAAACAATTCAAAGACAAATCTTCATTCATACCCAGAGGGTGTAGACCACCTACATTCCTTTTGCAAAAGTCTACGTTCTAAATTCCCTCCTCTACGAGTCTGTCAACTTTTCAATAGCTATAAATTTAGGTCTAAGACTGAATGAGATATCTCAACAAAATGGCGAGCCACAGGCGATTTTAAATCTTTCCTCCTAATAGCGCTCATATGCTCAATGATCCGAGTTCTAATTTGTCTATTTGTCTTACCCACATATTGTATTATACAATTATTTATAATTGGGATTTTAACATAACATTTTATGTTAGATAGACAGTTATTTGTTAAACGGCTTTCTTTAAGTCCTTAAATTTCGTGAGAACTTCAGTCACAAGTGCCTGGTTATGTTTTGAATTCCGCAATGGCATTTTCTCAGAACAAGCAGTTTGATAAACAGGAATGTTTTAATTGTTGTTGAGGCTCACGTGCCAGATTTGTGTTCCCTCAGGCAAGCGCCCTGCTGAGGACATGGATGAGGAACAGGCATTCAAACGCTCCCGCAACACAGATGAAATGGTAGAGCTCAGGGTGCTTCTCCAAAGCAAAGTGAGTAAAGCAATACACGTGCACTTTGCTTCTCCATTTCTTCGATATTGGTGGCATTTTTAACAGTGACGTTTTATGCTTTCAGAATGCAGGGGCTGTGATTGGAAAGGGAGGCAAGAACATTAAAGCCTTACGCACAGATGTAAGTATTAAGACCATGCTCCATGCTTATTATGAACCTTTAAGCAAAGTTCTCTAATGGTCAATTTTTAACAAGACTTCTGACAGCATTTTTAAATCCAACAGTTGTTTTCATGAGCATTTCAGCTTTGTCAGCCAAAAACACAAATCAATCGGATCTGAAATCCCACAAATCAAAACTCATGACACCAATCCGTCCATTACAATCCCATTAAAATCCTGCAAAGATTTTTATGCATTTGATCTTGAGGGCAGATCTTCCGTTTTGTAGCTATAGGTTGGCTCATTTGGACAGACAAGCACTCTGAAATGAAGGTCACAAAAATATGTAGAAAGAAGTGCAAAAGTGCAAGTGCAGAACGTTTTCGGGTATTAACCCTTCCTCAGTGCCATGTGCTACCAAGCAACACCTGCGCTCATTAAAACATGTATTACCGTAATACCCCTAGTATCACGAAGATCTTTTAAACAAATACACATATATATCTCAAATCTATAACAAAATACAGTAAATACATTCATAAGTCATCCTAAATTCATATACAACTATATCAACAAAATATACATATACACCAAATAATAACTCCAATAAGGTAAAGTAAGATGGCGCCGACGCTGATGGCTGCCTCCGTGGCGTGCTCCGCAGTTGTTTTTATGTTTTTGTTAGTTTGTCCTGTCTTTAGTTATATCCCTGCAGTTTCACCAGAGACGAATTGCTGGACATTCGGAAGTACACACCACCCGATATTTCACCGGTTTTTGATTATTCTGATGTTTTGCTGGACATTGTAGTCGGCGGAGCTGCTGTGCTGATCAAGCGCTTCAGGACGCGCAGACGGGGGAAGCGAGCCGGCGCGCTCGTGAAGCTCAGACAGCGCGGATTCAGAACGCCGTTGCCTCGCATCCATCCGGCAAATCTCCGCTCTCTACCCA